GCCATCCTTTGAAAACATTGCCCGGGGGCCTTAGGGCTTGTTGCTCCCGAGGACAAGGTGAGAGGACTCACTAGTGCGCTTGCACAGGCTCTTCCCCACCGCTGAGCCTGCACCAGAACGAGGGTCGCACTGATGGCCAGACGAAGCTGTCGTGCTTTAGGGTGATGTCGGTCATGATGCTCGGTGGAACTTCTAATTCAGAGTGACCTCCACAGAGTGACAGCTACTGGTTAGCTTTCTGGGTCTGGCATTGCTTCCCTGACCCGTTTCAGAAGAAACACACTTTCCAGCTGCATTTCTAGGATCTAAGCGGTGGAGCTTGGCTTGCAAACCCGGCCCGGCGCCAAGTCTGTGGCTGAGGCTGAAGAAGTGGAGGCTGACGCGGCGACAGCGCTCCGGCCTGTCACGGGCACCTCGCGGTTTGGGGAAACATCTTCCTGAAATCTCACTATGTCCAGTGTTTCAGAAAAGTGAGGAAAGGTACAGGACAGCCTCGACCTTCGTCCTCTCTCTGAGAAAAAGAAAACACACTTCACAGGAGTTACTTTTGGAAATGGAAAACGCTCCCTCTTTTATGAGAATACCAGGGTTCTCCATCTGTCAGGCCCAACGTGGTCCCACTGCGCAGGCCTGAGACTTAGGAGTCTCCATGTGTCGGGACAAGTGTCACGCACTGACCACAGAGCATCCAGAGCTCTGGCCAGCGAGAGGGCTGGAAGCCACCTGGAGGACGCTTGGGGTGTTGTCCGTGGGCCCAGGCACGTCTTGGGCCAGGTTGCTGAGGGCGGCCGCATTCAAATATCACTGGAGCCCTGGCCAGTTTTGCTCAGCGGTTAGAGCGTCGGCCTGCGGTCTGGAGAGACCCGGGTTCGGTTCCCGCTAAGGGCACGTACTTTGGTTGCAGTTTGTCCCCGGCCCTGGTTGGTCGTGCGGTGGCAGCCACTCAATGTGTCCCTTTCACATCGATGTTTCTCTCTCTCTCTCTTCCTCTCTCTCCCTCCCACTCTATCTGTACAAAAAAATGGAAAAATGTCCTCGGGTGAGGATAAAAATAAAAAATTAAAAATTAAAAAAAATAAAATATCACTGGAAATGAGCCTGGCTGGTGTGGCTCAGTGGTTGAGCATGAACCCATGCACCAAGAGGTCGCCGGTTCGATTCCTGGTCAGGGCACATGCCCAGGTTGTGGGCCTGATTCCCTGTGGGGGGCATGCAGGAGGCGGCCAGTTGATGTTCTCTCTCATTGATGTTTCTGTCTCTCTCCCCCTCTCTCCTTTTCTCTCTCTAAAATCAATAAAGAAAAAAATTAAAAAATATATATCGATGGAAATTTAAATTCCTTGTAAAACACCAGGAAAATATCGGTCAGAGTGCTGCTAATGGGGATTCCAGGAAAGGGACTCTCCCTAAGTCTCCTGGAGACTTCGAAGTGACCGCAAGACTCCAGGAGAACGTGCAGGCGAAAGACTAGCACGGAGAAAGCAGAGCATCGTTTAGGAGCCAGTACACTGAGACACCGACGGGGTCAGTTCCTGTTTCATCTCCAGGTCTGAGGAGTGCGTGTGGGCCTCACACCCCACGGGACTGTGTTTCCTTCCTCGGTCCTCATCACGGCTTTTCGGGGTGCAGCCTGCAGCCCCCGCTGCTGTGTGAGGCTGAGCTTTCTCAGGGTCTCCAGGGGGCCACGGGTGTCTGTCTTCCTGTTTTGACCTGGAGGTAGTTGTGTGTGTGCTTGTGCGGGGGTGTGTGTGTGTTTGTGTCTGTGTTCATTCAGTGGAGCATAAGGCTGTAGGTGGGTGTATCCCTTGTTACCACGTTGAGAGACACGATGGGTTTTGTTTCTATATAAGACGGTGTGGAGAGAAGGGGCCCCAAGCAAGCCATCAGAACCCGCCACCACGGTGAGTTGAACGAAGTGTGGCCAAGGCTTAGAAAAGGACCGGATGCCCGGAGAAGGCCGGAGGTTCGAGAAGTCGGGTTGTGTCTCCTCCCCTTGCTCCCCACACGGTGGCCCAGTGTCCGGCTGCCTCTGTCACAGCTCATTTAGCTGGGCCTTGCGTTCTAGCCCGGCCCCGGGGGGGATCGTCCTCCCAGCCCGGGAGGTGTGGGCCGAGCTGGCGTGAGCGAGTCCACCGCTGCTCCAAGACCCTCCTCCTGGGAAGTACCACCGACGGCCCAGACCCTGTGCGACTGAGCCCTGCCAGCAGCTCAGTACATGGCTTGTAAGCAGCGGCTAGTCCCTGACTCACCTGCTCCACGCGCTTGTGCCCCCACACGTACCCTGTGGGAGGACACGCTGCCGGGCTTCCTGCCCAGCCGCCCCGCTGTCACAGGGCGGGGTGCGCGGCGCAATCGCTTTCTCTCGTGTGGGATCGTCCATGAAGTACAGTTCAGTTTGTTGTGCCAAAGGAATTGTGAGAATGTCAGAACCATTCGAACAAAACTAGATATTCAGTTGAAAGCCTTCTCTCCGAAGGCCCAAAGCTGGGAAGAAGCAGAGGCCGTCCCAGCAGAGTGGCCGGCAGAGCCAGGGCGGTGGGGACGGGGGCTCAGGGCCTCCGCCTGTGTCCGTGAGCCGAGGCGACCTCGCTGGGCCTGCCGGTGAGCGGAGCCCACCTCAGAGCAACGCCGATGATCAACCGCGGAGACGGCGGTCAGCAACCGAACTGTGCTGGAACGTTCTCCTTTAACACTGCACTTCTATTCCACGAGACCCTAGCAGAGGGAAATGCTGTTAATTAATGCCCCCTCCCCAGCTGAGCCTCTTTGTTTTGATCAGATGCAGGGTCTTGACTCTATCGCAAAGGGAGAAAAAGATAGTTTAGCAGAGGTCGCCGCTGCCCCCCCGCCACCGCCTGCCAAGGCTGAGTGACAGCCGTGACGTCGAAGTCCAGTAGAGGCAGCTGTGTCACCTGTCGTGACTAAGAAGGACCTGTTCAGCCAGAATAATGGAATTGATCCTGTGGCAAATGGGGTCTGCCTAATTGTCAGGTCAATTCGGGACATGTTACTTCTGCTTTCCCAAATCTAGTTGTCAAGTTCAACACTCCTTCTTCTAGGATAATTTTAGTCAATAAAAATATATTTACAGAAATTCATAATGGACGTGGTTCCCAGCCGCCTTGTTCATGTTGAGGTGGGGTCTAGCAAATATACCCTGTGGATTCATGCCTCTGTGCCCCCATCACCCCTTCTCTGTGAATGCCGCCCACGGCTCGCTCGTGAACCCTCCTCTCTGTCTGTGTCTCCGCCACTCTGCGGCTGTATGTCCTGCCCGTGACTCATAACCTCCAGGTTCTCCTGCCCTCCCTCTCCAGAGTGCCATCCTCTAACTTCTGCTTTCTGACTTAAATTTCCACTTGAAATGCCACCTGGCTGTGTAAGTTGGTATGTCTGAAACCAGTTTACTGGGTCCACCTGTCCGCTCCATCGACCCGTCACCGGGGCTGGAACCCGCCAGCGCCCTTTGCTGCCTCTCAGGCGCCGAGAACCACCCCTTCTCCATCCTAAAATGTGGGGGCGTTGTCTCCTGTGATTCCCTCCTGATGCTTCGCTCTATTCACTCTCTCGTTGAAGGCATCCTGTATGCTGTGATACACAGAGGTTGTGAGCTGATGAACAAGTCAGGTGCAAAAAATGGGGTCATCGACCTCTCAGAAGTAGGGGGGTCCATGGACAGGCTTTGGGAGCCTGAATCGAGGACCCTTCCTCTTCTGATTCAACTGTCTTGAGCCGGACGTTTGGGGAGGCCTCCAGCCACACACCGTTCTGTCCTCCGCCCGCTGCCCGACTTTACTTCCAAAGTGAATCCGGTCGTGTCACGCTTCTGACTAAAACGGTCCCCTGGCTCCGCATTGCACAGGATGGGCACCACACTCCTTGACCCTACTTCCCAAACCCTCTAACCCAGCCTTTTCCCCACAGCACTTCGTTATGCAACATCGTTATTAACTTCACAGCCACGAAGCAGGAGGGGAAAGCATTAGAATGCTCACTCTGCCTTAAACGTTTCCGTCAGTACCGTTTCCAGTCACCCTCCTCCCCCTTTGGCCATCAGCTCAGTGGATCATGTCCTAATGACTGCTGTTCACACGTTGCATAATGGTTTCAAACAGCAGGACACTGAACGGTTCTGAGGCGCGATGGTCAGTGTGGGCTTATCTGCTGTCCTGATGTGTCACTGACACTCCCTACACATCTGTGGCATGTGGTAGCGCAGAGCAGACCAGCAGAAACAAGTCCCAAAGTCTTGCCCTTAGGAACATTGAGTCCATCTTCACAGACGAGTGTTCTCGGGAGAGAGTGACACCAGGTGCTGACCACCTCTGCCTCCACAGGAGGGTCCCAGGCCAGATAGTCACGTACTCTCTCATTCACTCAGTCATTCATGCCTCAGATACTTATGGAGCATTTGCCAAGTACCTGTGTTGCAAACACGGGCCCTGTCCCCACAGAGCTCACAGTCTCTTCTGTGATGCATTTTGTAATTTGATCCAAATGCTGGAATCAGAAAGGAGTGAACCAGGTTTCTGGGTTCAGGGACTGGGGACACTGAAACACTTGAAAGGCTTTAAAGGATTGATACAGTTGTAGCACGAATGCGTGTGTGTTTATGTGTATGTGTATTTGAGAAATGGGGGGAATGGTAGCACATGCATGGGGAAAAATTGTTGCCCTGGTAAAGGAAACCCAAGTGCAAAGGCAGTTAAAAAACTAGACGATTATCTTGGGGGGACATTGTGGTAAGTTCCGTGTGGCCTGAGGGAGGCAGCAAAGGCTTGGCAGGCGGAGGTGCAGAGAGGAACGCCAGGAGGTGAAGGTGCAGATTCATCAAAGGCTTGTACCAGGAGGGGAGCCCAGAGAAGCCTCCCACTGGGGAGGCGCCGATCAGGTAACTTTCTGAATGAAGGTCCACTGCGGACATAGAGGACAGATTCGAGGTGCCCACCACCAGGTCCACGCTGTGTTCCAGCTAACTCCGCCTCCTTCTGTTTTCCCAGTGACAGTGCTGGCCATCTTCCATGAGCTGCACGCGGACCCCGGCCTGTACACGCTGTTGTTTGGGGAGAGCGTGCTGAATGACGCGGTGGCCATCGTGCTGACGTAGTAAGTACCGGGGTTCGGCCGGTGGCTCTCTGATCACGCGAAATGCTCTTCCGCTGGGTGATGCCTCCTGCTGGCTCAATAGTATCTCTTGTGTTGTGTCGTAGAGACAGTGTCTCTTGTGTTGTGTCGTAGAGACACAGTATCTCTTGTGTTGTGTCGTAGAGACACAGTGTCTCTTGTGTTGTGTCGTAGAGACACAGTATCTCTTGTGTCATAGAGACACAGTATCTCTTGTGTTATGCCACTGAGACACGGGAAATTTCTGGCTTTCAAGGAATTGTTACAATAGGAAATCTCCAATAGTGGGTATAATTCAATGGGCACCTAATGTCTAACTCTATGCCTGGGTTTTATGTGTCCAGCCTATTACGACATACTACAAAGAGGGTCACAGTTATTTATTTGCGTATTTATTTATGTGTTTTTCTCAGTGCATGTATAGATAGCTGATTCACTGAGGGCTCCTGAAATGCACATACATCAGTTTTCTTCATTTCAAGTCAGTATCACTTAATTTTTTTCCTTATGCAAGTCATTTTCCAGATAACAGGCTAGTGGAAAGCATTGTAGTTCCAGTAAATTTGGCAAACCGGAGCTAGAACTTGAGAGTCAGAAGAGTTTTCCTTTCGCGACGCAAACGTGATGTGTGGCAGGGACACGCACATCTTTGCCTGCTCAGGACCAGGGAGACTGACGGAGCTTCAGCCAAGAGCTCCTGTAAGTCCTCCCTCACCCGCGAGGATTTCCTTTCTCAGATGAGAACGGCTCCTCTGCAGACGTCCTTTCTATGTAATACGTGCCACTCTGGTGGCCTTCACGGGGTCAGAGGTCTCTTCTTGGTTTTAGATGAAAACCAGCATTGTGGGCACCAGCCAAGTCACGAAGGGAAGAACTGTCTGGGAAGTAAGTGTGGCGCAGGGTTGCTTCAGGGTGGAAACCCCTCCGGTGCAGCTGGAAGGGTGTTGTGAAGTAACAGAGGACTTTAGAGTCAGACCTCAAGGGGTGGGGTGGGGACGGCCAGCAGGGTCACTTCCTGCCAGCTGCCACCGGAACTGCCCCGGAACCCAGCACCTTTCAAGTCAAAGTCTCCAAATAACTTACATTTCTCCTGGCCACCAAAAACGGCCTTTTGTGTGTTAGAAGAAAAGATCAGTGAGAGCAAATTAAGAGCAAAGCCGTGGCAGGCTCACAGACGCTGAAGGTGCTTTTCAGGAAATTCCGAGAAAATTAATGAGGACATCAGGAACCCCGTCCAAGAAATGCAGACACTGAAGGAACATTGTAAAATCTTTAAAACATCTCTGCCAAGCCCCTCGTTTCCACGTTCCGAGCTGCCAGGTTGCAAAGGGCCCGCGAAGAGCAAACCACGGAAGCAGAGGAGCTGGAGGAACCAACAGCCCGGCCGCTGGGGGCAGCACTTCGTTCCGCCGGTTCATTAGAAGTGCAGGCTCCCAGGATGCGGTGCTGTTGGCGAGCCGGGCCTGCGGCTTCACCCGGTCTGCAGCGTCAAGCAGGTCCCCCTGCAGGGATGACGGCCAGTCCCTTCCCTGCTCCCTCCCTGCCCTGAGAGCTCTACTTAGACAGGGGAGGCCTGCCAGTCCCACAACCTTGCACCCCGCTTTGCAATCCAGGTGTTGTGCGAGTGACTCTGATGGACTCCGTTGTTAAACTAAAGGGACCCGCATTAGGGATACCCGACACACCCAGAAACGCTCCAGGACGGACTCCGCAGGCTCCCAGTCTGTGCAGAGTGGGTGAGCCTGGCTGTGCTGGGCCGGGTCTGCTGCCCGGGCCCCCACCTGGCACAGTTCTCCATGGCGTGTACCCCTCCCTTCCCTTACTCACTTGCTTCTTTAGCTCAGGTTACAGAACATGATCATCTTTTTATGCATCAGCTCACACAGGCATGTTTTCTCTCCTCAACGAGCCCTAGACTGAAGTCAAACGAGCCGGGTCAGGATCACCGGGAGTTAACTGCGCAGTTATTGCCCTTGACAGGAAACCAACCCTAACTGGCAGACAAGACAGGGGTCCGTGCTGGCCGATGTCTCTGGACAGCAGCAGTAGTCTGGCTCAGGAATGGGCGCTGGGAGCTGCACAGACCCTCTCTCCTCACTCAGCCTCTTCCGTGTTAGCTCCCTCCCTGCTCCAAGAGACCCTCCGCCCAGCTCGGGTCTCAGTGTGCCCTGTGCATCCCTGCGCCGTTCCAGACCCACTGGGGACAAGTCCCTGCGGCCAGAGAGATGCGGTGCTCACGTCTAAGCCACATGTCTCCTGAGTTCAAAGGTGAAGTCTCCTTCACTCGGAAGCACATGTACTAAGACTGGGACCAGTGGGCTTGTTTCTCAGAGTACTCACCCCACACAAAAGGAAAGGAGGGTGGATGCTGGACAGAAACAAAACCAAGACCTAGAAGACCTCCGCAGTGACCTCCTTTCGCCACACGCTCTCTGTGAATACTTCCTTATCTGTACAATGTGAGAATAATTGTTCTAATACCTCACAAAACTATTTAGAGCAATAAAAGAGCAGTGTAGTTAGAAAGGAGCTGTAATCTATATAATCTATGCTATATAAGGAAAGATATGCTTATTGTAATTCACCTAATCTTTTATATCCATAACTTTTATTTTACTTACACAGATTTTCTGGTTTCATTAAAATGACTAAAAATAGACCAGCTTCTAGTGAAACATTCCTTCATAAATATGGCATTTTATGATCCGAGGAATGTCGACAATGACCATTTTTAGACGTAGTTTCCCCCATTACAAATGAGCCACTTAGTTAAGGCACACTGTTCAACGCTGATAAATCAAGACGGGAGGTTGAAGCTATTACTTAAAGTTATAAAGGTACTCACAACTCAGACTGATATTTCTCGTAGAAGTCAGGTGCAAGGGGGGAGAAGGAAAGGAAGGGATAACTGAACTAAAATAGCACATCTCTCTAGCCCTGGCCAGTTTGGCTCAGCGGTTAGAGCATTGGCCTGCAGACCAGAGAGCCCCCGGTTTGGTTCCCGCTAAGGGCACGAACCTCGGTTGCAGTTTGTTCCCGGCCCCGGTTGGGGTCATGTGGGTGGCAGCCAGTTGATGTGTCTCTCTCACATTGATGTTTCTCTCTCTTTTCCTCCCTCTATCCCTCTTGATCTATCTGAAGATAAATGCAAAAATGTCATCGGGTGAGGATAAAAAAAAAGGGGGCACATCTTTCATGGTGAGAAATCTCTATCTGCTGTGTGGAGTTGGTTAATCAAGAAGTGGAGGTGTATGATATTATTTATAGCCAGAGGGCCCCCAGTGGAAGAAATAAAAACATAAATACTGAAAAAGAGATACTTTTCTGGATAGGACCATGGTTTATGGAATTTAATCTTTTATTTTATATCCTTCTTTACTGTCTGAATGTTTACACGTTTAAATTATATTTACTTAAAATAATTTTTAGATGATCAAGATATCAAAAGCAGAAACTATAAAAGCCGATGTATCTAATAGCAATAAAGGCAAAGAACACTGCAAATAAACCAGCTGGCAAAGGGCAAACCAGCGAAAGCAGTGTCAACACACATTTGGAGAGGTGGCTGGTCCTTATAACATACACGATGAATTGTTACTCTCCTTGATACACCGAATGTACTAGGGATGTTCCCTTAGGTGGGTTACTTATCCTCCCTGTGCCTCAGCTGCCTCTTTTATAAAATGAAGATGGTAAATAGCACTTACCTCACTGGTTGGGATCAAACATAATAAATCTAATACAGAACTGGCTTATAATACTCAATGAATCTTAGATATAGCCCTGGCCAGCTGGCTCAGTGGTTAGAGCACTGGCCCACAGACCCAAGGGTCACGGGTTCAATTCCCGGTTCAGGGAATGTACCTGGGTTGCAAGTTGGATCCTTGGCCTTGGGTCAGGGTTGTGCAGGAGGTAAACAACCGATGTGTCTCTCTCACATCAATGTGTCTCTCTTTCTCTCCCTCCCTTCCACTCTATCTAAAAAAAAAATTAATGAAAAAATATCCTTGGGTGAGGATTAACAATACATACATACATACATACATAAATCTATCTTAGGTATAAATTGCTGAAATTACGTCTGTTATCAAAGATCAATAAAGAAAAATAGAAAAAATGGGCAAAGGCTATCAGTAGATAGTGAACAAGAGAAGAAACATACATGGTCAGTAATTCTACCCAGTATGACCAGCTTCACTAATAATGAAATAAAGCAAAATAAACAAACAATGGAGTATCATTTTTCGCTTAGCAAATCTTCAAATCTTTGGAACTCAAGAAGGAATAATCACACTTGGTATGCATCAGAGTTTGTGGAGAAGAACCCTCCTCTGTCACTAGTAAAGAGAAAATGACAAACTTTGAAGGCATTAGAATTTGTGGATCTATTGATCCATCTATTTCATTTCTAGAAATTTATGCACAGAAGTAACTAAGGTCATGGCAACAGTGTCTCCATGGAGACAAGTGCATTAATTTGAGCAAGAAGTTGTACTGAGTTACTAGTTGGTTGAGTGAATTATAATGTATCAATATGTAATTCTATGCAGAAATTTGAAAAATAGGGAAAACCCTGGTTGGGTGGCTCAGTTGGTTGGAGCGTCATCCAGTACACCAAAAATGTTGTGGGTTCGATTCCTGGTTGGGGCACATACCTGGATTTCGGGTTCGATTCCAGTCAGGGTGCGTAAAGGAGGCAACCAATAGATGTTTACCCTTCACATTGATGTTCCTCTCTCTCTTGCTCCCCCTTCCTCTCTCTCTAAAAATCAATAAAAACATATCCTTGGATGAGAAATAGAGAAAAAAGGTGTATTGATGTGAAATATATTCACAACATATTTTTAAAGAAAAAATTTAAATGGTGTATGTAATCAGATCTATTTTGATTTTTTTTTAAAATCACAGCCAAATTTGTGTGTGTATAATTATAACATATAAGTGTAATTTAGATATATGATCAAAGTGTTAGGAGAGAGCAC